AGGCCCCCTCCTGGCCCACAAAACCTCCCCCTCCAGTCCTTGGCTCCAGCGCTAAATGACACCGTCCCTGCCCCTCAGCGGTTCCATTGCCCCAGGAGCAGCGCTGGGGCTGAACAGGCGCTCCGCCCCACCGGCAGTCCTGGTCCCCCCACACATCCTGAGGGCTGGGCTGGGCTGGGCTGGGCGGGGCAACACCGTCCCTCCCCTCAGGAGCCAGCAGGGCAATGCAGCCCCATCTTCCCAGGGCCTGACCCTGCCCTGAATCCTTCACCCCTCCTTCCCAGTGCACCCCAATCCTCCCATCCCCCTTCCCTGAGCTCCCACCCCTCCTTCCCTGTGCCCCCAAACCTTACCTCCCCATTACCCACTCCTCCCATACCCCTGCCCTGAATCCTGCACCCCATTCCTCCCATACCCCTGCCCTGAATCCTGCACCCCAATCCTCCCATACCCCTGCCCTGTCCCCACCCCCTGCCCTGAATCCTTCACTGTGCACCCCACTCCTCCCATACCCCTGCCCTGAATCCTGCACCCCACTCCTCCCATACCCCTGCCCTGAATCCTGCACCCCACTCCTCCCATACTCCTGTGCCCCTCTCCTCCCCCCCCCACACAGCGCCAGCCCCCTGCCCTGAAGAACCTAAGCAATGACAGTTAAGTCTTCCAATTATGTATAAAATAGCCGTCATGGGCTCTGAATATCTGACCCGGGACCCCCAGTGGACTATTTAAGATTAACTCCAAACTGTTCCTTCCCCTCCATGTCCCTTGCACCCACTGACCTTGCTGCCCTGGCTCTTGGGCCTCAGAGGTACGAAAGAAGGCAGATGGGAACAAAAGCGAGATCTCCCAGGACGACACAGCGTCAGAGGCAGAAATCAACGCAGAGGAGCCGCTGAACGGAGAGGAAGGAGAGGAGGAGGGACTCACGCGAGATGCCTGCGAAGACGAACTGGTAAGAAGTATGGATCTGGGGTTGTGACTACTCCGGCTGAAGCCAAGTGGGCTATTCACCTGCTTAAAGTTCAGCACCTGCTTAAGTGCTTTGTAAGAACAGGACCCTGCTTAACTACTTCAATGACAGGAGCCTTAGCAATGCATATTCTAGTGAGAAAAAGCTCTGTTTTCCCAAATAAAGGTTACAGCAAGACTGATAATAAATACACAGAGTCCTCTAACTGGGTGGAAAAGTTCTCCAAGGCCCTGCCCTTGCTGGCTGTATCTTACCACCAGATGGCATTGTCCTCAAATTTCAAGGAAAAGAAAAATCACAAAATCCATTTGTGTCTGAACATTTCAGAAATAACTTCCCAGGAGCGTTTTGGCTCCTTTTGTTCCATGTGTCGCTTGACTTCTAAACATCAGAACCAGAGCCAGGTGAAATTTGTCATCTGAAGCTATTTTGCTGAAAAGGCAGGTTCGAGGCAATGGAAATAGTCCATGAATTCATGTGGATTTCACTAAGCTATTTTGGTTGGGGGGAAAAAAGCCTAAAAATATTCTGGAAAAAAGCAAAAGGTTTCCATTTATCAGTGCAAAATTAGTTTTGGTTCAGAAATTTACTTCAATTTACTTTCAAGAGCTTGCAAATAAAACAGCACATTGGCTTCAGGTCAAAGACAACGTGATAGGCAACATGAAACACCAAGATGTTTCTTATTGGTGTCTCACAAAATTCAAACAGCAATTGTTCCAAAACACACTTTTTTCCCCCCAACTAGCCAGTGAACAAAATAAACAAGCAAACAGGTTTTCACAGCACTTTAATAAGAACAGTCCCCATCTGGCAGGGCCCCTGAAAATTGGGACACCAATAAAAATTTTCATCCCTAACAAAGTTATTCATTCCTGCCTTGATTTAGAGTTATCACCTTTCTAATGTCTGGTATCTGAACCCGAGGCTCTAGCCATGCTCTGTTGCTTCTCTTGAGTCACCCCCTTTTCCAGTACTTCCCCCCCCCCCACCCT